CCATGTTAACCCTCGAAATGAAGTCCATGAAAATGAACAAATTATCTCAAAGTTTAGAGGAAAATCTATAAATAACCGTCATTTGAAGTAGAGCGCATGCAATTCAAATATCTCTCAAATAGCTATTTCTCTTAGCATCAAAATTAGAGAGATTAGGAAGTGCAAGTCATAACTAGGTGAGTAGGATTTACTGATCTGAATTCTATCATCAACAAATTTGTGTAATTTGTGGGAAACTTGAGCAATGTAGACCGCAAAATTTCATGCTTTAGCTGAGAAATACTTTTAAATCAAAGGAAATGAAATGAGCAAGGAGAAACCAAGTATTAGCTGCAATGCTGAAGAACGAGAATCCAGAGAGTAGCAGTGTTCTGGTTAATACACGAGTAAATTCGGTAGTGAAAACTATTGGGAAGATGGTTGAACATGCTGCTTTGTGCACAAAATTACAGAGCTTGGAAGGTAGATATAAGGGAAAAGGTAAACTTGCAGATAGCACACAATTCCTAACATCTTCAATAACAAAGTTCAGATGTTGAGGATGAGGTAGTCGTGGTCCAGGCATTAAGAGCAAATGAGTATTTTCATCGTGTCCTCCTAGACAATGAAAAGATAATAAGCACAAAATATCCTCATCGTCTGCAAACACTGCAAAAATTTTCCATATCATTTCAAATTTTGCATTTATACCCTCATTTCAACATTTTCTTATGGAGTTGGTCCTTTTTATCTCGTTCCATCAAAATATGGGTACTTGAAGCAAACATGTTATCATTTGCTTTCATTGAGCAAAACGTCCCTATTGTAAGAACATTCTTGTTTCAAACATGGACTAAGCTCGAAAAACATTTCTATATAAACTGATTCTAGAAAATTGATTTTTTTTTTTATAAAAGAAATGTAATTGAAAATAAATGTCATAGAAAAGTACACTTCAACAAGGGCTAATTCTCACACTTGAACTTTGCTATCTTACAAAAGATCGTGGTCTGGCCTACTCGTACATGCATTTTCTATTTGCTCCATTTATTCCCTCTCTCGTGATTACAAGGTGGCTTTGGTTTCTCCACTATTAATCATTATACTCTAATTTCCTTTTTCTGCTATGAATTTCATTGAAATAGATTTCGAGAAATCAAAATTCGCCATGGCTAAGCAGTTCTTTATGTGTTAGTTTTTAGTTTTTTGACTTAAGATTTTATGAGTTATATTGTATTCAAAAGTTCTAATGTACAATTCCTTCTAAGCAGGATAGTGTTTGAAACTCTCCATCTTGTGGAATTGAACAAATTAAAAATATTACAATCTAATTATTAACTTTGTGCGATTTGATTGTCTAAATAATCCTTCACTTTGTTCTTATTTCTTATTGTTGGGCTCTGATGCCAACTGGTCTCGTGGGCTATGATGATAATGGGATGTTTGGTCCAACAGTCAACTTAAAAAATCACCCAATAATTTGGCAACTCTGTTTGTGGATTACTTTCAAGAGAAAAAAGAGATTCTATGCCATAATGAATTCCAATAAGTTCACATTTATATTTTTGGTCAAATAAAATCAATCAGTGAAAAAGGAATAACCCAAATCCTTAACTTAAAAACGTGTCTTCAGAAATGCACCTTTAGAGCAACTCAACATTTTTGCTAAGTTTTCTGAGAAGCCCTGGATTGTTGGATCATGGTCTAGATCAATGGCTGGATGTAAGGGGTACAAATAGTACCCTAGGTCGCCCCATTAGGTCATAATCTGGTTGCTGCCTTTCGGTGTTTTCTTCCAGAATTTTCTTCGTACTCTCTTTATGTTCTCTTTCCAAACCTGTGGTTGGAAGTTGATGCTTCTAATTTTCTTTTTGAAACTTAAACGCTGTATTGTGTCTTACTTGAGAGACATGATGCAATTCCTTGTGGCATTCTTTAATCAATAGAGGTTTGCTTTGGGATTCAGGTTAGGGTTCCGATAGCTAAAAAGAAAGGAACAATTTTTGAGTCTAAGCCCTTCAATCTTTATTTCCATGGTGTTTTTGGAGTCGTATCACTGATCGAGTGTTGTGAACTTCTTTGGTTGAAAGTTTAGGTAATATTTGTTGAGAAACTAGTGTTATTGGTTTGAAGATTTGTGTAATACTTACATAAATTCTGTTTTTTCTGCCGGTAGATTTGGGCCATCTGGGGTCTTGAATTGAAAACACTAAGCTAATCTTTATTTTATTTTATTTTTTAGGTTTTAGGAATTTTGAAGATTTTTAATATTGGGTGATTGGAGAAAGATTTATTTCATTTCATTTTATTTTATTTTTAGTATTTCATTTCATTTTATTTTATTTTTTTGTACTGGCCAACTGAGGACATCGCACTAGGTTTATAGTNTATTTGTTGAGAAACTAGTGTTATTGGTTTGAAGATTTGAGTAATACTTACATAAATTCTGTTTTTTCTGCCGGTAGATTTGGGCCATCTGGGGTCTTGAATTGAAAACACTAAGCTAATCTTTATTTTATTTAATTTTTTAGGTTTTAGGAATTTTGAAGATTTTTAATATTGGGTGATTGGAGAAAGATTTATTTCATTTCATTTTATTTTATTTTTAGTATTTCATTTCATTTTATTTTATTTTTTTGTACTGGCCAACCGAGGACATCGCACTAGGTTTATAGTTTTTAACTATATGTTCCTCTTGTTATAATCCAATTAGTTGTCATGGTCTTTCTTTTGATAGACTTTTTCTTGAATAGAGCTTGAGACAATGCAGTTTTCTTTCTGTCTTTTTTTTTTTTTGTTGTCGCATCAAGTTTATTTTCATTTTCACTTTTGAGGTGAGCATCATACTCAAGAGAACACGGAACCCATACAATTCAGTTCCACATTAACCCATGGAAAATGATTTCACGGGTAAAATTCGTAATTGAAACGAATTGGGCATGGAGCCAAAATGTTTTTATCCAACGACACTAAATAAACTGTCTTTTGCTTATGTTAATAATTGATAGTGTACTTTAAGGTTGATGTTTTATTCTTAGCCATATGAATATATTTTTACATTCCTTATTTGTTCATTGGACAGGGTACATATCGAAGAACACGCGGCTTCAACGTTCCAGAAAGAGTACAACTCGAAGAACAAAGTTCATATTTTTGCTACTACTAAAAGAGAAATCCATTTTTGATTTTGTTTTACTCACTTTTCATTTTTATGAAAGAAAATAACCTGAAAATTCTTCATTCTCAAGAGGCTAGGCAATTTACTAATTGCATATGGGAACTTTTGTTTTGATACAAATGATAAGGTGTCCCCTGTTGAAATTTCAACAAAAAATGGAACTAAAGCGTTGGTATGGAAGGTATAGGAAATAAGGTACGCCTATTTCCATAAACCATTATGCCCTTCATTATAGAAAAGTATTGTTGTAATTATTAATTTATTCCCAATGTAGGAAAAGCCATTATGGTTCATTAAATACCATGACGGTTTAGAAGAATATCCTTAAAAACCCTTACAGCTTCTACATCGAAAGACAATAACAGAAAAGTGGATTCATTATTTCTCATTTTTACGGTGAATTAGGAAAAAAAAAGGTAAAAGTATATGTCCTTTAAACTTTTCCAAGATTGTTTAGGAATATTGCTTTCACTCATCCAACATGGTCAAGAAAACAATCATCCTTTTAATAAGATATTTGACAAATGAAGTCAATTATAGTTCGTGATATGCTAATTTGTAAAGGGAAGCATGCTTTGTTGCTGTTGTACATGCTATAGTATTTGTTAATT